TAGGATTCGGTGCGGTTTCATTTTAGTGGCTTTTGAGATTTTCATCTCAAATTGAGATAGGGGATGTTATATAGGTTTACATCTTTGTTATCTTACATGCTATTGATACTTATACAACTTCTATACATGCTTTTGTTCATAATCTATAATTTAATTTAATTATTTTCTTTGTGTAAGATTTAATTCACATGGTTGTATATGTGATGGAATTAAATTATGACATGCTATTAAATTAGGCCTTGATATGTTTATTAACATATATTAAATTGAAGACATTTGAAGTTGTTTTAAAATCTAGAGGAAATTAATTAATTAGATTAATTAATTTTATTTTTAAGTGTTCTATTCACTTAATTGAATTTTTAACTTGATATTATTGATAACTATGTTATATTCTTTAACATATATTAATTTGAGAATTTAACTTAATGATTTTTAACATATATTAATTTTTAACTTAATGATTTGAAATTTAGAGAATTTAATTATTTTTATTTAATTAAATTCTATCTAATTGTTCCATGGATTTAATTACGTTTTAGAAGTTATTTCTATATATAAATCATGGATTTAGACTTATTGTGTATTCACTTGGTGGTGTTTTAAGCATTGAATAACATTGTTATTAAATTTATATTCATAAGAACATGTTTTCAATATTGAATATATTATTGTCTTGTGTAATAAATCGCACACTTCATATTTGACGTTATATATGCCATTTTAGAGTTTAAACTCTAAGGCATGGATTGTGTAGTTTCAACCTACTTATGCATGGAAGGTGGTTTCGTGCATTATTTAATCATGTATAAGTTTTGAACTTATTTATTTTGGAGTCACTTAGGACATTATTACAAAGACATGGCTAGAGTTTAGCTTTAGTACGGGAGGTACGAGTTCTCCCAATTTTATAGTGCGCACTATGTGACGGTCCAAGTTTTGCAACCCAAGTGATGATCTGAAAGTTGACCCGATAACGGATCCGAAATGCGAAGTGAAAGAAGTAAAATGGCCTCTTGAGATGTATGTCATCCTTAAGGCACCAAAGTGACTCCCCATGAAGCCACGGAACTTAAATGAGTCAAGTACTGAAGTAAGGATTTCAAACCTGATAAAAAATAAACTAAGGGTAAAGTAGTCATTTCAAACTTAAATGGGTGCCACCGTGCACACCATTGGAAAGACAACAAAAAATGAATGAAGTTAGACTCAAGAATTACCTGATTCAGAATCCGGACAGAAAAGATACAAAAATATAACAAGGAGGCATCCTTTGATTAAGAGATACCACGACCCTATCTCACTAAAACTGGGATAACTCTCACTACGGTTGGATTTTTAGTGTAAGGTTGGTACCATTGGAAATCTAACTTCAAGCTCTTGAAGTTAGACTCAAGAATGAGCAAATTTGGATTAAAAATGAGTGAGATATGACCTTCTGAAGTTGGTGCAACAAAACTGTCCAAGGAAAACTAAAAAGGGAAAACCCCAGGGAGGATCGGTCGACTGAAGCCAAGGACCAACTTGCCAAAACTCAATTATCATCCGATTGAAGCTCAATCATCAGCCGACTGAAACGACTTTTTCACCAATAAACATACTGGAATTGGTCTCAAGGGTTTGTCAGCCAGCTGATGGTTCTTGTCAACCGACCGACGCAACAGACAACAGCAAAAGCTACTGCTGCAATGTCTGGGGAAGGTGCATGGGCTAAAACAAATGCTATGCATGCATCCCATATGTTCCGGAACAAGTTTTAAAACATGCCAAGGTCACAATTAAGCATTTAAAACATGCTAAACCAAAAAGAATCCATATATCATGCTCCAATGTATGAATTTTCATAAAAACTTATAAACCGCCCCCATGAAGGTTCCAAAACTAAAATTTAAGAGTTTTGTGAAATATAGACATGCACGCAAACGTAAAAAGACATTTAAGATGCGCTCCAATGGTCCATGGCCTCAAAATATCCCCAATGCAAAATATGAGCTCTCAAACCTCAATTTTCATAAAATTGCCTTAAAATGCAATAAATGAAACCAAAATGCAAAACATAAAACAAAATGGTGTTTGGCCTTTGGCCACACCTCATGCATGATTAATGAGACCCTATGAAAGAATAAGATTGGAATTCCCACACCAGATGCAAACATGATGAAGCAATGACTTGACATTTTTCAATATTTCCATAATAAACCTTGAAACTGAAAATGCATAGAATGCAAATTAGATATCATTGGCCTATGGCCTCACCTCATACATGTCAAATACATTACGAAGAGTGTACTTATGTACATATTACATGTTTAAAATAAAATATACACATTTTGACATATAAGGCTACAAGTGGCATTTCAAGCCAACCTTTACAAGAATGGGAACCTTCAAGTCCACAAATCATCCAAGCATAATGAGAATCTCAACCTTGAATTCTATACCTAAAAAATGTCCTCGGTAGCTTTGGGGTGAGTAACATAAAGCTACTCGTAGGAGATGCGTATGCAAAGACTTAACGTTTTACAAGTTTGCATAATTTAATCATTGTGGTTCATTCCACCTAACGTCTATGTCAAAGTGAGACCCAAGGAGCATCCAAAGCTACCTTAAAACATTTCTATCACAAATCATATCATTCATACAATTTAAATAACATAGAAGCACGTTATACAAGGTAACAAGATATAGATTCTCAAATTTATCAACTTGAAATCTAATATGTGAAAATAACTAAAGTGGGTCATGCCACCTAACGTGTATATTCCAAATGAATTTATAAGATCGTTCCTAAGTTACATTTGAATAATATAGCATAAATGTACTTAAAAACATCAAAATTTGCAATGATTCATTGAAAATCACGATACCTAAATGTACTTAACAACATTAAAACTGCGATGATTCATTAATATCATAATGCATAAATGTGTTTAACAACATCAAATCGCCAATAACTAAAATCACAAGTCACAATTAAATATTGGTTGCCAACTTGAAATTGAATGCGAAATCAAATAGTGAAAGACTTGGACATCAAATATCGGAGTAAAACCAAGACCTAAACGGTTATTCCGGGCACTAACCTACTAAGAATACCACCCTAGTGGGCACTATAAAATGGGGAGACCTCATACCTCCCGTATTAGAGCCAAATGTCCCAAGCGACTCCAAAATCAATAAATAAGTTCACAACTTATACGCAATTTAAATAATGCACGAAACTACCTTCCATGCACAAGTAGGTTAGAACCACACAACACAAACTCTAAGTCCACAACTACTATAGTATGACAAATGTTGAATCTTCATAGTGCGATTCGTTATACGCTATAACAACATCATATATAGAAATATTCAGCGTGCGATTCGTTACACGCTATAACAATATAATTCAATAATGAAAACATAAACTCATGAATCCATTACAAGTCCAAAATTATAGTTTAAACATACAACCAATATCAAACACATGATTTAATCATTAATGCAATAGAAACAGAAATTAATTAAGTAAACTAATTAATTTCTCTAGGTTTCAAATCTCATAATTAATATATGTTATACAACATAACTTGATCATTACATATATCAATTTAAAAACTTAATTAGGTCATTGGAACAATAAAATAGAATTTAATTAAATCATGATAATTAAATCTCTAGATTCTAAAGCAACTCCAAATGGTCCCAAATTAATATATGCTACTAACCAAGTCTTAGTCATTACAAATATTAAGTTAAAAACTTAATTAAGCTAATGGAGCCATTAAATAGATTTTAATTAATTCTTTAAATTAAAACCTCTAGATTTTTAAAATCATCTAAATGTTCTCAAATTATAGTATGTTAAACAATATGCCAAGACTTAATTTGTAATAACCCGGTCATTATCCTTTCTTTCATTTTTCTTAAATTTTACAGATAAATTTTCTTCATTTAATTTTTTTTCCGAGTTATGTTTCTCGTCACTAGGTGTTGTCTCGAGTGCTTGGAAATGGTTTCTGAGACTATTTCGTTTGGATTGACAACTTCCTTTAAAGAACCAAGTCATTTCCACATTTTTACTTTTTGGACACTATTCACCTTTTGTCTTTTTCCCATTTGTCACTTTGTTGGCACAATCTCACTTTTCGTGTTCGATTTTTCTTCCACTTTTGCATGCACTCATGATATATGATTTCTTAGAAACGTGTATTTTTACTTTCCTAGAAATGCATGCCATTTGTGCACTTTCTTCTTTAGGGGTGTGGATTGGTGCGACCGAGCGTATGCACAAAATAATGCACAACACTTTAGGTTTAGAAATAATGTCAAGTGAGCACCATATTTAAAATTTATAAAACCACTAAACACTTATACTATGGAGTATAAAGTGAGCAAGGATCGTCCCAAGAGATCTAAACAATTATAGGTTTTTCAGAATTGAATTCTACTTTAGTACTTATGTGATTGCTAAAAAGGTTTGGTTTTGTGATTAGACTAATTTTAAACTAAATGATGCAAATAAAGAGTAGAGTTTAAAAGATTGGAAAGAGACTTAGGGTGTAGGATTCACCACTAAGCACATTCCCTAACTCACTCACTTTCAACTAATTGGGGAGGAAATAATGTGTAAACCAAATGTGACTAACAACTGCAATGAAAAGTGTAAACCATCAATTTCAAGCATGAATCAACTACTTAACGATAATTAAACTAAGTGTAGTGCAATTCACCATTTTTTTTTTTTTTTTTTTTTATTTTTATGTATGATCATGTGCAATGTCCAAGTTCCTTAAGCTCTCTAATCACCCCATGTAACAAGCGCTGAGCCAATGACTCCCAAACTAGATGGTCTTAGGGCGTTAAGTGTAAAGACACTCCTAAGGGCGTAATGACTCGAAATGGCTAAGCTACGAACTCAAACTAATCATATATCTTACATTATTTCCTTGTCTTCCTTTTTAATCAGTTGACATGTTAAAAGAATGCAGTTTTTTTTTTTTTTTTTTTTCTTCACCTTTGGTGAGTGCTTTTATTTCTTTTCTTTGCAAGGTCATTTTATCAAGAATGAAAGTTTTCAAAGCATACTAGCTCAATTGGGATAAACCAAAACAATAATCAACTAAGCATGTACCCCACAAATTGAATGCTAGTGTACGCAAGTGCAAGTGTAGAATTCTAAAATAAACTCTCAAAGCATTTTCAACTAACAAGATGATGTGTACCACAAGAGCAAACATGATATCAAAAATAAAAAATTTACCCCTAAATGGCATCCTAGAGCATACAAGAAATATTAGACGCGAACAACTTGCTTTTCAAAGGCACTATGCTTCAAAAGTTCGAAATCATTACTAAACACATCTCAAATCGCATCATGCATTTAAAGCTTAACTTAAATAAAATGAATCATGATGACGTTACGCCCAAACATAAACTGTACATTGTCCTCAATGTGCAATGAGAATAATGAAAAATAATGGAAAGAGTACCGTGATGGCAAAGATTATGAAATCCGGCATTGATCCAGTAGGAAAGATGTCTCCCCCAAGCTTAGATGCAAAAATCTAGCTGTATAACCATACTAGCAAACTCACATCAAATGTCACATGGGATAAGCAATTCATACAGTTCAAAATAATATATAACACAATGCAAAGAGATATGAGATGAAACCCTTGATAAAATCTGAAAACATTCATAACTAGTCATAAGGGCATACCGATAACACATTTTTGAATTTTTTTAATTTATTTTTAATTTTTTTAGTTTAGTTTTTTTTTTTTTTTTTTTTTTTTTGGTTATTTTTTTTTTTTTTATAATTGTAAAAGAAACAAAGAAAAAGAACATATATACACAACCTACAAATAAATAAATAATTGGCTAAGTTTAACGTCTCTAGCAAGACGGAATGATACTTTGCAATTTTTATTTTTTAATTATTTTTTATTTATTTCATTATTTTTTTTATTTAGTATTGTTTTTTTGTTTTTGTTTTTTTATATGAATATGAGCAATAAAGCCAAAATCAATCATATATGGATGAATGAAACCAAAATATATCATCAAAACTCAGAATTACAGGTTTCCAAAATAGCCAGCTCTAAATCACAAAAAATCTAGCTATAGCCACATAAAATCCCATCCACTCAAAATAAAAAAATCTAAACAGCCTAACATAGACAAGAGAAATCATGCATCAGGCGGCAATGTGGAAGTGCGTGGGAGACTCGATGAAACAATCTCATATAAATCTCGTAGCATGCGCTAGGTAGTGGTGTGCTGCTGTATAAGCTCAGCATGCTTGACTCGACGCTGCTCCTCAGATTCAGCCAACTCGGTCCTCAACTGCCCCACAATGGCATTGAACTCTGTCCTAGTCACCCCTGCAGACTCCTCTGCATGTGGTGACACAGCCTGTGCTATCTCATAACTAGCACCATCAGCAATCTGCTCCTCAGACTTCCCAACGACGTCCTCAACTAAGGCATTCACATCCTCTCTATCACCTGCTGCCATGCCATCACCTTCCTTCTTGGCCCTAGGCATATGAGAAAGGCTTAAGTTCCACTGTGCTAGCCCAAAAGTCACCGCTGAGCCTCAGAGATCTCATCATTATCAACCACGAAGCACCAAAGGACAAGGAGCTGGGTAATAATATATAGAAATGGAAGGTTTCATTTTTTCGCATTTGGATCCCCACTCGCCACTAAATGCTTCCAATATTTATGCATTTGGTTCAAGATGAAAGCTGGAACAGAAAACCATGCTCCAGTGTGGGTAGCATACAATGCTATTAAGAATTCTTGCCCTCGCTGTACCTTATGACCTATTGGAAAAACATTCTGCTTCAGAACCTAATTGAAAAACCACATATCCTTAGGTAGTGAGGACTTGCTGGCACAATTCGTCATCTTCTTGTCACCATACTTCCCGTCACACATATCCTTAACAATAGAATGCACAGTAGGTTTTTCCGAGAATTTGCCAAAACGTAGCTCCCCATTCTCTATTAGCAAGTCAGTGGGGTACAAATGTGGACACCCCAATGCCTGGGCTATGTCTAAGACACCAAAGTGAATTCGAACACCATCAATGGTTGTAGCTAATATGTCCGGCGCATCACTAATCCATTCCATATTCTGATAAAACAGGCGCACAATACGGGGATATGCAACCTCTGCAGTTGGTCTAAAAAGACAGGACAAACGCCTCCTTTCAAATTCTAACACCGCCCATTCAGTCGTGTCATTGTGGCGAAACGTACCTTCAATGTCGAAGGTAGTCTCAAAATCCAGACGTTTGTTGCGCCACACAGCTTTGGGAGTCTCTTTAGAGGGTTTGAAACGTTTGGAAGAAGGAACACGAGTCATTTCTTAAAGATTGAAATATATGGGAAGTAGTCCAAATTCAATAACCCTACTCCAATGACAAACCAAAATCTGCAAATCAACCAACAAGACATTCAATGTCAAATGAAGCATCCAACTCTAATTTTCCAATCACCAAATTGGGCCACTGTGAATTTTTTTATTTTTTTTTTCATCAATTCAATTTTTTTTTTTTTTAAACATCAATGCAACTTTTTTTTTTTTTTTTAATAACCAATTCAAGTGCAAAAAAAAGAAAAAAAAATTAACCAACTCAAGCACTTTCCCATACACAATCTAAGTTCAACGACAACCACAACTCAACAACCAATTCGTCCACTAGGAATTTTTATTTTATTTTATTTTTTATTTTTTTACTTTTTTTATTTTGTAATCATCAATTTAACTCTTTTTTTGTTTCAATCATCAATGGAATTTTTTTTGTTTTTAATCATCTATTCAACTTTTTTTTTTTTTAAGACCAACAATCTATATTGCGAAACAATATCACAATTTCAGTGCCCTAAAACAAAGGCAGAATTCTGGATTTAGTACACAACAAAGAAGGGGAAAGAGTTTCGGGATGCAAATTGGATTTGACATGATCCAAACATGAAAATTATTATCACAACAATAGCACCCAGATAGTCCGAAAAAAATGATAAAGAGTATTGAATTCTCTCATCAAATTCTCTCATCTTTGGAGCACTATGATGGATGATAAATGATAAATGTCAATTAACCAAAGCAATTAACCGCAAAGGATTCGGGTGCACTTACCCGAAACAATTAACCACAAGGATAACGGCAACCCACAAGCTCGCTGGAGAAGAAACCAATAAAAAAAAAAATCGCTGAAGAAACCAACCGGTATCAGAGAGGAATCTAGCCAAAATCGCTGCACAAGCTCACTGAAAGAACAAGTCAAAATCGCCAGAGAAAAGCGACCCAAAAGCGCAACAGAGAACCCAGCTGAAATCACCGGCGAGACCCGCAACCCCGCAACGCGACAGAGACCAACCAGCCAGAATCGCTGGAGAACATGGCGATTCACAAACACGCCGGAAGGAACCGGCGATGCAGAAACTCGCCGGAAGGAACCGGCGATGCAGCAGCGATCGCCGGAGAGAACGACGATTCACAAACTCGCAATAAAACTTGGCGAACCTCAAACTCGGCAACCTAGAAACCGGCAACCCAACTTCCCCAATCGCACCCAACCGAAACCCAAAGAGGCGATGCAAAGGGCGAACCTAAACCTGTCGGCAGAAAAGAACTCAGAACCATGGAGCCAGAAATCACAGCCACGACACTGTGGAAGAGGAGAAGAGATCAGCGAGGAGCGAACCAACAAATTGGGATTGGAGGTGGGTTAAGGGTTTCGTAAGGAAGGAGAAGAAAACTGTGTTTGGGAATGGAAGGTAGGGCGAGAATGGATTGGCGCTCGATCTCCTTTACTGGGGGATCGATATTTTTTTACAAAAAATTGTCCTTTTACTGTGTAATGAGAAGGGGAAATACAAGTAAAATGGAATCGATCCACGTGGACGGGGGATCAATCCACTTAGGCTAATTTTTTTGGTTGCTCTCTGCAAAGAATGGGATTGCTCTCCCAGTTTAGTTTAGGTTTTTTTTTTTTTTTTTTTTTTTTTAAAGCAAAACTAAAATGAAATATATATATAATAATAATAATAATAATAATAATAAAATGGAAATAAAATAAAACACCAACCTACACTATTGTCACAAATCTTTCACATGTTCTTTGAACAGGTCTGTCATGGACATCACATCATCCGTCATAATCTGCATATTCGAGTTTGTCTCCCCCACAAACTCTTCAAGCATTGATCGCATTGTTTGCAACTCAACTGCAAATTCGTGGGTGTTATTGTCTTTACAGTGTGAGAGTGTTTTACTTGCTGTGTGTTCTAGGCAACAAGTGTGAGTTGACTAATTGGCACAGGGGTAAATTCTAAACACGAATCTAGTGGCCTGTGATGGCACTAAGCCAGAAATATGAAACACTTTTCTCTTAATTTCTAACTTAGCTCAGCCAACTCACACTTGCTGCCTAGAACACACAACAAGTAAAACACTCTCACACACAAGAATAGTTGCAAGAATGTAAAGGCAATCACACCCACGAATTTACAGAAGCACAAGGCTTCCAACCTTTTACTATTATTCACAAAATAGTACAAGGAAAGGCCTCAACCTGCAGAAGCATACAAGAGTCTCTCACAACATAACTCTGTATCTCACTCTCAATCTGCCCTCTCTACAGAACCCACATTAGCAATATATAGGCAAACTCTCAAAACCGCCCACAACTGCCCACTAAAGTGGTGGATGACACCCCCATCCACCTAGGGTCATGTTGGCACCCACTAAGTGTGCCAACACTACATATGTAGTTGACAAGCCCAACTACTAGCTTGTTGGCATGTTCTGCTCATGCCACGTGTCCACAGGAAGTTGCATTCAGCATAGTGAAAGAAACCACCTCCAACCGCCTGTGTGTTGTCCTCTCAAATCTGTGCCACATGGATGGGAAGTTATTCAGCACATCCCCACTCCCCACATGAGTGGGAAGTGCTAGTAACTTCCCCCAACCAACTGAGCCTACTTAGTGGGAAGTGTAATTTCCCCCAACCACTTGAGCCCACTTAGTCATCTTCTATAACCGTAAGCCATGTCTGAGTCCCCTGAGCCAACCTTGCATGCTGAGCCTTGCCTATGCCCACTGCCTTGTACCCATGTCCTTGACTTGACTATGCCACACGTCCATGACTTGTGTGGTCTATGCTTTAAGCAACATCTGAGCCAACCTTATGAACGTAGCCCGTGCCAAGCCTACAAATCTACACCCACATATAAATGTCTCAAAGTGCACGACATCCAAATCGAGTGCCGTCTGCGCCAACCATCTTCTATGGACTCAAGGTACCTCCCATAAAGATCCCGAGCCAAAACTCCAAGCTTCACTTTTTTGCCATATTTACGAAAATGCCACTGGGCACCCCCAGTGCACGCTGACAGCATCCCATGGCTGTCAGGGGGCTTGTCAAGGTCCCAACCCCGTAACAAACCTCCCCCACTTAAGAATTTCAACGTCTTCATTGAAACAATCACAAAGTGTCACAAGTCTCTGCCTGCAACTTAGCATGTTGGCCCCGACTAACCCGAATGTTGAATATTAACACTGCAACAACTCCACTGCTGCACTTGAATAATGCCATAAACCCCAACCTCCGCATCAATTCATGACATGAATTCTAAACACCTTTGGATTTTGTCCTCACAACCAGCAACCCAAATCAGAAAAACAAATAAAGAGGAAATTCACCATTACCAACCTTGGCAATAACTCCGTGAGCATCTCTGCATAGCCTTCCCCGAAGCCACGCGCCCACCTGCACCTATCATAACTGCATGACAAGAGGATTGACCCTAATATTACCCTCATCCGAGTCTGAATCTCTTCCATTGGCTTCTTCAGCAACCATAACATTCACCTTCTCCTTTTTAGGACAGTCCCTCGCCCTGTGTGGACCCTTGCAAATGAAGCAACCACTGTCCAGCTTTGGCCTCTGCTGGATGAACGTCGCCTCTGGCTTCGCTTTATCTTTCTCTTCCTCAGCAACACCATACCTCTTGGGCTTGTCACCGAACTTGCCCTTCTTTTTCAGTTTGCTGGCGATAGTAGAGTCAGACTTTTCAATCTGCAAGTCCACCAGGCTGTCTACTGCAACTATAGCAGAAGAGAGGTCGATCACACCGCTCCTCCTTAACTCGATTTATGCCCATGATTGCAAGCCTGCCATGAAATTAAACAATTTGTCCCCCTTGGACATATCTTTGATATCCAACATCAAAGATGTGAACTCTTTCACATATTCACGCA